ACTATCTTTCCTGTTTCGTCTGCTTTCCATTTGAAAACCCATCTAGCATCTATCACATTACAGCCTATCGGGACTTTTGCTGCTAACGTGAACGTTCCTGCTCTTATCAAGCCTTCAACCTCAGCAGACGTGGCTCCGTCCCAAATCTTTGCGTACTTTGAACGCTGGGCTTCCTGATAACTATCAGGTACTGACTCAACATCCTGAACCAGTTCTTTCGGCAATTCCGTCTCATCACCTGCTCTCTGCTCCGACATCAGTGTATACACTAACTCCGTAGCGGAGATGGGTCCTAGGCTGGCCACAAGGCCCGGAACACTCTGCTGGTTGACTGCACGAGTTTGCGCGCGAGTCCTACCTTCTCTCACTTCATCATTNTTCTCACGCGAAGCAGTATTAACGTCAGCAAGCTCGGCTACATGCCGCGGACGACGAGCGGCTGGAGGGGGTGCCTCCGCCTCTACCGGTCCTCCCGACCTAATCGACTCTTCATCATCATGCCCTCCCTGTTCCATCGATTCTTCCTCATCATCCCCTCCCGGATCCCCCATCTCTAATTCCCCTGATTCCTGCCCTCCCTGGCCTTCCCCGTCATTCACAGGCATTGGAGAAGACACAGAGGCTACACTATCAAAAGAATTGTTCGCGAGGGACGACGGTTCAGCAGGGGAAGATGGAACAGAAAATGATGGGCCTACACTTCCTGCGCCAACACTCTCAACCTCCTCGACTCTCGCACCAGAAGGCACTGCANCCCCGGATCCCCCATCTCTAATTTCCCTGATTTCTGCCCTCCCTGGCCTTCCCCGTCATTCACAGGCATTGGAGAAGACACTGAGGGAGCTACACTATCAAAAGAATTGTTCGCGGGGGACGACGGTTCAGCAGGGGAAGATGGAACAGAAAATGATGGGCCTACACTTCCTGCGCCAACACTCTCAACCTCCTCGACTCTCGCACCAGAAGGCACTGCATCACGTTTCAAAAGTGTGTGAGCAACTCCTCTTCCTACAAGCGGCCATACCTCGGTTTCAACATTGTCGTCACTATCCTCCCCTCCCTCCTCTGCGACCTCTATTGGCAGAGAAGGTTGCAGCGGAGGGAGCTGTGACTGCAACACCTCCCACGTCACATCCCTCGTTTCCTGTATAGTCCCAGCCCTCGTAAGTACTCTATGACAATCACGCGGGTGGTCTCTCGAAGGACCGACATACAAGCAACTCTCACCCTTCGGCAGCAGCTTTGTCGGTCGCTGCCACCTGCAGTACGCTGGCTTCAAAAACGGATACGGTCTAGCGGGACGAGGTTCACCATACCACATTTCATACGGCGACATAGAGTCGGGGTTAGCAGAACACGCGGTGTGATTTATCGCTTCGCAAGCCCAGTGCATAGCCTCAGCCCAGAGTTTATCAGTCTTAGGTAACTGCACATGCCCAAAAAGAACTTTAGCCTGAATACGAGCCGCCATCGCGGCCTCTTCTATCAATCCCAGCCCACGCTCTGCAACACCATTATATTGCGGACTATAAGCCGGTGTGAACTCTTGTTTGATCAAGAGCTCATTGCACACAGATGCAAACTCCCCCCCGAAAAACTCCCCTCCGTTGTCAGATCTAACAATCTCAACGAATGACGGGACACCATTAGCACGCACACTCGCAGGAAAGGTCCGGAATGCACTGCCAGCGTCTGATTTATTTCTCAGGAAATACATCCATGTACGTCTCGTGAAATCATCCTTCACAATCATGGGATAATGTTTACCCCCTACGGACGCAATGTCCTTCCTTCCTCCCAGGTCAACAAAAACTCTGCCCAACTTTTTATCCGATCTACGTTTAGTTTCTCTAACGATTCCTTTTCGAATAGCCTTTGACATCGAACACCCTGAACAAGCATGCATGTCACCAACCAACTTGGTACCTAGTCGCTTTGCAGTAGTGCGAAGCAAACCCTCGTGCGAATGAGCGTAAATGTTGTGGAACTCGTTGATATCCATCGTGGTTTCATGCTTGGGGTTTGCGGGAGTGAGAGCAGCCAACACCGTGCCAACAGAGGCTTCTCCTAGACGATACGCAGACGCAATCAGCATGCCATCGAAGTTCTGAAAGGTAACTTGTCCATTGAAAGCAGTCATCACACCATCAGGACCACCAAGACCATTCCATGACTCGCCATCAAACTCTGCACTCGGAGAAAAGAGATTATACCCTAAGTTTGGAGAGTACAACACATTCTTCAACTCCACGGAAAATTCACTGTCAGCAGTCACAAACACCAACTCCAGCGTTCCAGAGAATGCTACCTCACAAGACACGCCACCAATCCCATTCACACTTTTGTGGCAAGGCTTCAAGTCTTTCATGCAAGAGAGGGAATCAGTCATGTGAAAAGCAGTGCCGGTGTCAGCATACCAATACTCGACACATCTAGACTTGTTAACAGCTTTCAGGATCATATCATCGCTGACAGCCCTCATAACCAAATGCGACTGTTAATCGCGAGATCGAGGGTTCGATGCCCTCCGGAACCGCCAATGAGGGATGATGCGAGCCTTGCAGTCGATCTTCATGTGACCCTTCTCCCCACACTTGAAACACTTCCCCTGAAATGACTTCTTCTGGGATGAATCAGACTCAGAGTTAGACTTCGGCTTGTTGTGCTGTTTCTTGATGCTACCCTTCTTCCTCTCAGGCCTAGACACCAGAGCAACACTACTCTGCTTCTTGGAACCACCCTGTGCTAGCAAGTCCAGGTAACGCTCACGCACTTTAGTCTCGATGAACGACGGGTCATTCGAACAGAACACCACAAGAGTCTCACGCAAAGTCTTGTACTCGGGCGACAGCCCCTCAAGCATCAGATTGCACACCTCTCTGTCATCCTTCTTTACTTCAAGCATCTGCAGCACACCAAGCGTCTCTCTGATGGATGCAAAGAAGGTTGCGGGATTTTCGTTGGAACGCATGCGCAGTGACTTCAGTTTCTCTTCCTGCACTCGAATCTGGCTTTGGCTCAACGGTAGAAAGTGATCCTTGAGCGCACGGAATGCCTTGAAGGGGGAACCAGCATGTCTAGCCATGTTTTTCAGGCTGTCTTTCTTCAAGCAGTCAAACAGAAACCACCAAGCCATCTCATTCTGACGCAGCACACCCACACTTTATCCCTTCTCTACCCAAGGGGTCAGATCGAAGTTAACGTCGGCAATCGGAATGTCAATCTCAGAAATGAACGGTTCTACCAGATTGTAGTGACGGGCTTTGAGCAGAAAATTCTGCGACCACGAAGGATACGATACATCAGTACCGTTAAATTCAGGAGCCTTGGGAACTTTGAAAGGACCCCCACCCAACTTCTCCCCTGAATTAGAAATGTCAGCCCCAGGAATCAGTGTGTTTCCACTGGCGACACTACCCCACCATTCGCTTGCAGCAGTAGGCGGGGGTGGAACGGAAGACTGGCTACCTAAAGCCCCNATATACGATACATCAGTACCATTGAATTCAGGAGCCTTGGGAACTTTGAAAGGACCCCCACCCAACTTCTCCCCTGAATTAGAAATGTCAGCCCCAGGAAT